AAAATTGAAACTAAAATTGATAAACTTTCCCAGCCAAAATCCATAATCAGGGTAAAACCCCTGGTTAATTTTCCAGAATCTTCTTCAAAGGCAATAGCCTTGAAGGCAACTTCCACAAGTCAAAAAATTGACCAAATGTTATCAGAATTAAAACAAGAAAAGACAATTCATGTTTTACAACATCCTGATGATTCTCAACATGTTTTACAACATCATGATGATTCTCAATCAGAAACATCTCCAACTTCCTCTGAATCAGAAGATGATTCAGATTCCATTCGAAAAGTTGAACAAGCTTTTCAAAACCTTGAACTTAAAAGAATCACCAATAGGCAAGTCAACCCAACATCTCTTACCAAAAATTGGTATCCCAGGCCAACACCCCTGGATATCCAGTTTGAGGAAAGAAATATTCAAAACCAATTCTCAGTCTCTTATGATAAACTCTATGAATGAAATATAGATGGTTTGTCAGAACAAGAACTTCTCAATAAACTCTAACATATCTCTATGGTTGCTGATAGCTATATTACCAATCATAATCTCAGCCAATCACAAGTTGTCGACGTTTTGGTCACTAGATTTACATGAATGCTTCATTCTTGGTGGGAGAAACATATCACAGAACAATCCATAAATGAAATAAAAAATGCTGTTAAAAAGATGAAGAAGGAATACCTATTTTTATCATAGAACATTATTTTCATTATGAAGAATATTTTTATCATAACTGATTTTAATTGGCATAAATCTCTTATTCCTAGTCAATTCATTGAGTATCTCAAATTCAAGGTAAATATTGATCAATCGTTTGTTCAATTTTTCGTTTCTGTTTATAGCATTTGGTATGATCTCTGTAAGCCTAATGATCATAATGATTGTAGTCTTGATTGTTGTCCTCATAATTTCTACCATCGTCAATAGATGGTAAGCTTCCGCCTCCAGAAATGGTATTCTAAAATCAAAATAATAATTGATGACTTTCATTTTGAAACTATTGCTTTGATAGATTTGGGCGCAGACTTGAATTGTATTCAAGAAGGGTAGATTCCTACTAAGTACTTTCATAAGTCAAAAGAAATACTTAGTGCTGCTAACCAATCACCAATGCAATTAAATTTTGAGATTCCAAAAGCGCATGTCTGTCAAAATGATATTTGTTTTAAAACCTCATTTGTTTTAATCAAAAACATTTATGATCCAGTCATTTTAGGTCTCCTTTTTATGAATTATTTTGATTACATTCAAACCTGGACCAACATTTTCCTTCATCAAACAATAGAGTTTAGTCATTCATGGTTCATAACTTTTGATAAAAGTTTCAAACTAAATTTTCTAGCATAGTTTCCAAAATGGCGGTCTACTCACGGCCCAATAGCCAGTTTACTGCCAGATGATCCCATGCAAGTTTTATCAAATGGTTTCTAGAAAAGATTTGATCGCAGCCATTTCGACAACAGAATTTCACTTCTACTGTTGTTCATGGCAAAATACAAGGTCCCTTGGATCATGAAATGGAATTACGAAAGTGAAACAGGTGAAGTCTACCGTTCCAAGTGGGTTAAATTTGACTATCAAAAAATCATCAACTTGATTTCATCAGAATTTTCCATTATACTTGTCCCAATGGTATCTCCACCAACAACAAAGGCATTGCCAGAAATTCTGGAATAAACACAATCCTTATCAGACATTAGTCCTTCATCCTCTCTCGAAGGAAAGACTAAATCATCCAAATCATCCAAGACAACAAGTTCGAAGAAAAAAGAGAAATCCTCACAACTCAAAGAATTAGCAGACAAGCTTATGGCAGAAGTAGTTGTTTCTCTTCCTCAGAGATTTTCAATTGATTGATTGTCTTTTTGACACGGCATTCATTGACATAATGGCCATATTTGCCACACTTGTAGCAATTTCCTTTTTGTTTTGGATTTTTGGAGTGGATTTTTCCAGAGGGTTTCCTCTTCCACTTGTTGGTTTGGGTTTTTCATAAAACTTGTTGGTTTCAAAATGTTTATTTTTGGATCTGTATTTGGGATAATGTCTACCTGAGTATTTATTGGAGTACTTATGATAGACTCGTGATTTTCTCTTTTTGTTGGAAGGAGCAATATGAGGTAATCCATATTGTTCACAGAATGTTCCTAGCTTATACTTGGCTATAGATTTGTCTTTGTTAACTTGTTTTGAAATTTTCATATTGATACACATTTTCAAACCTTCCTTCTGGATAATATTAATTATATTTCCATAAGTAAGGGTATGCTATGGTATGATACCTTCTTCGTTAACTAAGACACTTCTAATTTTGTGTGCAAAAAGATTTGGTAATCCGTTTATAAATTTTTCTTTCCAAAATGGTTGATTACTGTCTTCTCTGAGCATGACTCTAGACATGAACACATCTTTGTACCATCTAAAGTCGCTTAGAGTAAGACATCTCAGATTGCTGAGTTGATCATGGATCCTGGAGGTGACATTACTAGGTGTTCCTATGAAATGTTCTATGGTTGTAAAAAGCAATGTGTGCTTTGCTGCACAATGAAGAAGAAGAGACAAGTTCCAACTCATCAGACGCTTCGTCCTAGCCAGTCAAATGGGCCGATTATCAAGATTCTCAAGACCCATTTGAAATTTGAATTTCAAAATGTAATAATTTGTAATCATTTAAATTTTACCCATGTAAATCGCACAGTAGCAGCCATGTGATTTTATCACTAAAAGCAGCATCAGCAGAAGTAGCAATCATTCCAACAAAAACTATTCATGAATAGTAAAATCACTTCTACTATTCATCCATCATTTCAGCAGCAATGGTGTGAATCCACAGTAAAAAGCATCATCATTTGCCAGCCTTTACAGCTTTTGGCACATGCAAGCAAGCGGGATTCCCAGCCTCAATCATCTCATCCAACTCTACAAAACCCAAGCTCAAGCTTCTTTCATAAGGGACTTTCGTCCATCATAACTGAGACTTCTGTGAATTCTCTGAAGAACAGAAGCCACCATTCAGTTCCATCCCATATCCAGCAAAATAATAAACATCTGTATTTTCATTTTTAATCAAGGATGCCTGCGAGCTCTTGGATTTCTTTTTTACAGAATTCTAGAACTTCTTGACTCATTTGAATGGGTCTGGCTTTGGTTGGGATTTTGGATTCATTAAACACCTTGATGTAAGGAAGTTTAACAATGTGCTATTTTTGATGCCAAAAGGCATTGGGAATATCTGAACAGATGTCATTAACAAGTTTCATTTGAAAATTATTAATGGCTTCTAACAAAGATTTATTTGTTAGCTGTTCTTCAATTCTTTTGTGATTAATTTCTTCCTTCAAGAAATTAATTTGTTGTGTTTTATGAGTGGTAACTTGATGGATCGCGATATGCTTGCTGTAATAAGATTTCTGTATTTTGTTTGATTGATTTGTGAACTTTATGAGTAGATTATTTAGATCTAATTCAATGGCTTGCACTAGCTCTAGATCTAGCTCTTCAGGATACCAAGTCCTTGAAGGAACATAGCCTTTGGCCTTAATATACAGAGTATATTATAAAGTTACTGGCACAAACATGAATTTCTAAGCTTTAACTAAGATTCCTAGAGACCACACACTTTTAATTCAAACCAATCAAGAAAATGCAAACATGAAAGTTCCCAGAACCATTAGGTGGTCAGATATCAGTCTACCTTCAGATTGATGTTATATATATATATATATAGCATGCAGTGGGTACTCTTGACTACGTACATACTCGAGGGCTGGACTACATCAGCAACTGCGTACAAACAATACTTTCAATAAGCGCCTTCTTCGCTCGCGTATGTCTGTTTGTTTTGAATCTATTTGGCTTCACTGCGTTCACTGTGTATTCTCTCTGATTTTATCAGTTGACGAAGATGACTGCGTTGCTGTTGAGCATGGCTGCGATTGCTGCGACGATGCTTCGTATCTGTCATTCTTTGAGGATCCGGAACCGGCGCCATTAATCAGGGAAATTAAGGAAACTGAGGAAGAGGACGTGATAATCTTTTGTGGCATAATTTTTTGTTTTGGATAACTTGCGTCGTGCCCCTTTGCGTTGTGGCCTCCGACACATTAATACATTTAGTTTCGTTTTGAGCAACTTTAATTTAAGGTTACCAACTACCAAGTAGGGGAAAAATCGAATTTTTATGTTTCATCTAATTAATTTGCTATGTCAAGTTTCAAATTTCAATGAAATTGTGATGAAAAATTCAGATTAATCTTCCAATAGGGATGTTTGATTTGTTTATTTATTCTTTCTTCATTGTGAATCATTTTCCTTATCAAAGAACGATATCATACGTGCGTGGTCACAAATATATAGAACAAGAAAAACGAAATACAAAGAGGGGGGACATACACCTTATCCCTTTTGAAAAAGAAAATATAGGAAAAAAGAAAAAGGGGGGGGGGGGTGCACAGACCATACCCCTCTTGAAAAAGAAAATACAAGAAAAAGATTGGGTGGACATATACCCAAACCCCTCTATAAACCTAAAAAGGTAAGAACCTGCAAGACAAGCTGCAAAACGAAAAAGGAAATCCAAAAGATTAGGTAAAAAAGGGAAATCACACATCAAGAAGGGGAGGCAAACCTGTAGGCTCGCATGCCTAAGAAATCTGAGTGCAGAAGAGGAAGAATCTCTATAGGAGGAGCGGAATGCCAAACAAGTGAAGATGAGAGAAGCCCTAAATTGGCTAATTTGTCAGCAGCAGCATTCCCTTCTCGAAATGTATGAGAGCAACAGAAACCATGTTTTGCAATCGAAGAATACAATTGTTCCAACGTGTCTGGAGTGACCAAGGAGGAGAGAAGGATCCAGAAGTGAAGCAAGATATCACGCTAGAATAGTCACTTTCAAGCCATAGATTTTGCCAACCCCGCGCGTGAGCCAATTCCACAGCAAGGATGACAGCATGGAGCTCTGCATAGAAAGAAGTGCAATGCCCCAAGCTTAGGGAGAAACCACCAAGAAACTAGCCCGCAGAATCTCGGAAAACCCCGCCACAAGCTGCAGGACCTGGGTTACCTTTAGCAAGGCCATCAGTATTAACCGGTGCGTGCAAATGGTTAATTAACTTAAATGACCGATGTGAGATCTTAATTAGGTATTTAACTTGTTACTTCGAAAAAATTGGCCAAAAAATATATCGGTGTGAAGGAGGTTTTTGATCCACAAGTTAAAGTAAACTGAAATGGATGACAACATGTAAGATTGAAGTGTTAAAAGTTTACAAGATTCTTCGTCCAGAAAAAAAAAAGAGTTTACAAGATTGATGCAGATGCTACACATAGAAAACCTGCCCGACATCCAAGAGACTCTCATGAGGAACGTTGAACATTACATTGTTTTCCCTACATACCCTCCTAAGAAATGCATATAGGTAGTCGATAGCGATCTTCTTCCATAGTTTCGATTCCCTCCCAGCTTTTACGACTGTATTTCCTAGTATGTGCACCACTCCTGCATTTCTACAGTTGTTCAAGAATTCTATCTCAGCAGCCTCGGCCTGCCTGCTTGCCGGAATGGAGGTCATGTTGTTTGCATGCAATGGAGAATCGTAAATCACGATCGAGTCCACTGATTCAATTGACAGGTCTACTTGATTGAAGTGATGTATATTACTGCTATTACTCAACTGGCCATCTCCTGATTGATTAGTTTGTTGGCCAAGTAAACTAGGTACATCAGAGTTTGGTGACGCCTCCATCAGGGACTCAAGCTGGACAAACATGAAAAGGTTGTGAAAGAGCTTGTTCTCCAAATCATCATCCTTTTTATGGTAGTCTTTATAACCACACCTTACAACACAACGAAACATATGGAAGTTCTTGGCTCCAATCCGCTTTATAAGGAACCGCTCATCTTCTGGGACTGTGATGACAGGAAGGTACTTCACGCAGACAAAGACAACAACAGAATGGATGGCGGGTAGGTTGGTGACAAAGTGAGAGAAGATCCGGGGAACTCCACTTGCTAGCTCAGTGTACACAAGGCCAATCCCAGGTACGCGAACCAGTCCTAAACTTGGACCAAGTCCAAGAATCCATGCCATTGAAACCTTACTGTGCATCTCAGTCTCGTAGCATTTAACTGTGCCATAATGCCAAACATACATGATGATAAAGAAGGCCGCTGCGATCACAAGAGGAACCCAGCCGCCTTGATTGACCTTGAGGAGTACAGCAGAAGAGTAAGTGCCCTCCACAACCAATGATGAGCCAGTGAAGATCAGGATAAGAATCCAATGGCAGCGCCACACTAGTATCATGACAAAAATCATAAGCAATGTGGTTACCAACATGACTACACAAACTGCCGTCCCTGTTGCAACACGTAAGATTATGTTAGTTGGTGCAATCTTAATCTCAACCAAGAAGCTTGGAATGAGATACGACAAGTAACAGTCAAAACAGAAGTTTGAGGAGAGAAAATTTTACCCTTTAATCCTAACTGCCATCATAGATTTCCTAATGCTATACAAAAGTTTCATAGAATTTGAAGATGGCATATAATATGGAGGAAAATTCTTTATTCACTAATGCTATGAAGTTATGTTTTAACATAGGAAGATACGTGCACAATAAAACAAGCGACATCTGGTTTAACTTACCACTGGCATTCCCTAGGTTGGTTTGATTTTTAAGCCCAGCTGTGACGGCAATGCACAGGATCATAACAATCCAATTAATTTCTGGAATATATATCTGGTGACGGTATTTCCTTGATGTATGCACAATTTTGACTCTTGGGAAGCAGCCTAGTGCATCTGCCTGCTTGATTAATGAAAAAGTTGCAGTTATGGCGGCTTGACTTGCAATGATAGCAGCTCCAGTTGCAACAATAAACACGGGCCAATATATGCTGTCTGCAAGAACGATTAATCAGAATCCTTCGGCAATGCATTACCATAAATACAGGGCATTCATGCCACTCTAACAATATATGTAAAGTTTAAAGGGCTTCCTTGAACAATAGACTTCTACTTCACGTGAAATTTGAGTATCATAGCACGTTCACGTTTCGAACAAAATACCGTACACTAGTTTTTCAAATGCGACATACTATCTTGTATCAGTATTCTGACCATACAAGTATTTACTTGGTATCAGTTTCGGCAACATGGAAACAATAAACACCTAAACCTAAATGTTTATGTTATATTTTATAGTTCAAGAAATCAAACAAACCTGGAATGGAATGATAAAAAGCACCGAACACGTTATTTGGATTTTTCATGAGGTATGCTGCTTGACCACAGTAGGCTAATAGAAGGCAAGGAAATACAACCACTGTGAAAGCAAGTTGTACGGATGGGACTGAGAAATGGGATAGGTCGGCAAAAAGTGCTTCAGTACCTGTAAGTGTTCACAACCAGTCTTCAGGGACCACGTCACAAACTTGATTGAATTTCATAAATAAAAAAGGATGGAATATCGAACTTTTACCTGTTATAGTGAGCATAAGACCTCCAAGGGATGTCCACCCAGTTTTTCCTCCCTTCTTAAAAAATCGATTTACATATATAGGTGAAAAGGCTTTTAAAATCCTTCTATCATACTTCCAAATATTGAACATGCCAATTCCTCCAGTTACGAGAAACCAAAGGAGCATGATTGGTGCAAACAGGCAACATAGTTTATCTGTACCATAAGGTTGCATACTAAACAAAAGTACCAGTATAATAACAGCAACAAGCACGACTACCTCTGTATAACAAAAGAGTAGCTATGATTAGATTTGGCAAAAATGATCGATGAGTAACAAACAAGACGAAACAAATGAAACAGTATCTTTATGTCAAGCGTATGGAGATACCATTACTAATCTCAAAGTGGCGTACGTTGATCCCCCCAACTGCTGACAGAACTGCAAAATATAGCATCGTCAAGTGTTACATGTACTCAAGGTTCTAAAAAACGCTAGTCGCTAGTCGGGCGGCGAGCTGGGGCCTAGCGCCTAGGCGGCTAGGCGGGGTCTAGGCGGGAGCCTAGGCGGACTAGACGGATTTAACTAATTCCATTATATTTCATGTAAATAAGTGTATGTTTATACTTAAAATATATATAATTTCATCATAAACTATAAAATAGAATGACACATATATTATGAAGTATTGGAACATAATGAAAACATGGGGAACAAGCATATAATGTGTGCTCATTTAAGTATTCGACAAGTCTCTTACAATTTATTGAAAAAAATAAAATGCAAAATGAAAGTTACCTATTTTCTGCCTAAGTGAGTTGATGCCTAGGCCGGCGCCTCAGTAGGTCTGTGGGCCCTTTCTTAATTTTCAAACGTCTAGGCATTAATTGGGGCGGTGACCAAGCGCCTAGCGCCTAGGCAGGGATTTTTAGAACAGTGCGTGTACTTATCAAACAGAATATAAAATATGGTTAAGCAGCCTCCAATAAAACTGATAAAGAATATCATAGAACTTGTGTAGAATATTTCTATGTTCTTACTTGGTAAAAATGCGTTCAAGGAAGTACCTTTTACCAATAGAAAGAAGAAGAAGAAGAAGAAGCTAGGCGGGGATAATAGGAAGAAGAAGAAGAAGAAGAAGATAATAGTTTCCTAATTAAGATTGGTCAGGGTGCAAGGGATTGCAATACGCTACCCTTACGAGTTACTTCTTTAGGAACTAATTACGGATGTTGAATGTGTTAGGATACAATCACTAATGAGGATAGTTAGGCAGAAGAATGATACTACAACATCAACAATGAAGATGGTTACCTGATATGGCCGGAGTCAGAATCCCATCCCCAATCACCGCGGAAGAGCCAATTAGGACAAGAATAAGAAGTGTGCTCTGCATAAATGCATGTCCCTCCAACCATCTCCTGGTTCTTGCAGCAAATGATTTCTCACCAAACGTAGAACAACTATATGTTGTGAGTGCCTCATCCGTTTTGTCTTGGTTAGGAATAGCCTTTATTTTTGCATATCGACAGAGTAATGAATAGAGAGCAAACGTTCCACCTGAAACCATGAGGAGGATATGTTTAAATGAACTGAAAATCGCAGAATAAATAGAGAAATTTACCTCCTTTGGCACTACATTAGAACAAAAGCATAACAGCATCTATAGCTCTCGATGTTATTGTCGCAATAATCAAACATGGATGCTTTAGATTAATGATCTGAGCATAGCGTTCAAGGCCTATGCTAAGATTAGAAAGGTAGGGAGGGGAGGAGGAGCTTATATAAGTATGATAGATTGAGATCAATTACCTTGACCATTGTCATTTGCTCTACAGACAATAAAAACGTACTTCAGGAGTACAATAAGGGTGAGGGAATAGATAATAACAGATAAAGCTTCAATCAAATCCTCCGGATCACCAATTCCATCAGGAAACGTATTGTAGAAAACATACAAAGGAGATGTGCCTAAATCTCCATATACAACGCCAAGGCTTTGAAATGCTACCTGCACGAGCGCTAATGCTGAAAATTTCTGGAAGGGCATAAAAAAAGGGTGATCAGCAAAGGGAGCAAATATAGTTCAGAAATAGCACAAAAGCTTTCAAGATATGTTACATCCATGTCGGATATAGACAGATACATTCGTTCGTATATGTAATGCAATCATTGAACCATAAAGTACGAGAAGTTAAAATCAATAGTAGATGTAAATCAATCGACTGCCTATTTCAAAAATTCAAACCCTTCGGGACTGACAGTTGTGAAGTTTCACCGCGGAATAGGGGTGAGGGGGTGGGATAATACCTTTTCCTCGTGCATATTCCTCAGCCTTTTAGCCTCCTCATCCATGGGCTGATCAAGCTGCTGATTCAAAACCCGAATGCTACCGTTCTCATTGGTACTTACATCAGCAGCCATTCTTGCAGCCATTCGAAACCCGATAATTCAAGCGATTCTACTTCCCTTCCGCCGATTCACGTCTCCACTATATTTTTTTTAATCCTTCCCTCTATGTTGCAACTTTAGTCCTAACAAAACAAATTCAGATCAGATATCAGTAAGAGTCCGAAGATTCCGGTTTCGAATTACTAACAAATGACCAAGGAAATCCCAGAAATAACTAAACATCAACATGCGTTCCCCAATCAAAAAGCTTATTATCAAGTATAAAACAGTAAAAAAATCATTCAAGTGAAACAATGTGCTCTGCCCACAAATCCAACAAAGAGGAAGAACAAGCTGATCAACTTTGAACAAAAACCCAGAACTGCATTGAGTCCATGGCAGTCCAAGAACACACAGCACATAAGTTTACACAGAAAATACAAAATAAAATAGGAAAAATGCAAACTTTATTAGTGTTTTTACCTGGTTGCAACTTGCAGATGATCTTCCCAGCTGGGTTTTGCCTCACAGGCTCCGAGTAGCCATTAGAGCATTGAAACGAGAGTGAGAGAGATGAGCACTCGCCATTTTTTAAGAGCAAAAGAAGAGTTATAGACTTTCACGCTCATGTTGACCAATATAAAAAGGTAATATTTGGAAAGATAGCGGAACATGAATAAAATTTTAGCCATGGAAGCATTTTTGCCCGTCACTCTTATATAGTAGTAATGTTTATCATCTTATTTATTATTGTTAGATGAATTTGAATTTTAAGATTTGTTATATGGTAGTAATGTTTATCATCTTATTTATTATTGTTAGATGAATTTGAATTTTAAGATTTGTGCTTATTTACTATACGAATTTCGAAATTTAAACTCATTTAACGATAATAAATGAGGTGGTAAGCATTACGACCATTTGATGAGAGATTTTTTAGTGAGACCAGTACACGAGGTGGTACACCACGTGTCATTATATAAATGGTGGGATATGTATGTTAAAAAGTTAATAACTTAAAAAATAAAATTTTCCACTACTTTTATAAAAACACGTGGTGTACTACTCGTGTTCCGATCACAATGAAAATTTGACGTAAAAATGCACTCTTTTAGCCATTTATTTTAATTTATTTTATAATTTTAATCAAAATACAAAAACTACAATATCTTTTTTAACTAATATAATTATAAAACTATATCTTCTCCAAACATTTTGACTAGAGAGGGGAGTGGTTAAACCTAAACAGGTTATTATATCATAATTGGTATAAATATTAATGGTAAGAAAAACCCTAGTTGAATAATAATTCAAATAAATCCTAATAAAATTCACAGCATATCAACAGCAACGATGAAAATTAAACACCGTAATAAGAACAAAAACAGATGAAACAAGGAAGAAGAAGGTGGGGAGAGTGGGGGACCTGGTGAAGCTGACGTTTGCAAGGTTAGAGACTGGAGGCCAGCTCTGTATGCTGAGCTCTTCTCCTCCTCCTTCCATTTCTTTTATTGTATTTTTTCAAATTTTCAGAGATAATATATGTTGGTTGTTTTTGAGAGATTTTTACAGAAGCAAAGATTGAAGTGGAGTGAAGAGAAGAGAAGAGAAAAAAGAACCTGAAAATCAAGGTTCTAAAAAACGCTAGGCGCTAGTCGGGCGGCGGGTTAGCGCCTAGCGCCTAGGTGGGATCTAGGCAGCCTAGGCGGATTTAGGTAAATTTCTTGTATATCTCGTAAATAAGTACACATAAAAAATTATACTTGTATGAAATCCATGAATAAGGTAATAAAAGAATGATAAAATACAAAAATAGTATCCAACAAGTGTTCAAACTTTAAAAACACATTAAACATATATGCTATATAACTTAACACATTTTAAAGTTATATCTTATTTTTGAAACATAAAAGTAAAAATCCCACCAAAAACCGGTCTGAAAGTTTAACTTGTTGAGGTCAGAAATCATAAAGAGACAATTATGGAGAGGTGCATGCATCCTTCCTTCACCATTTCATAAAGCACACCACACGTGACCCCTCCCTTCCACCCATAGTCCCATCACTCAAATCAGCCTAGAGACTCCCAAACCATTTTGACAAAACCGAAAATTTTTCTTTTTTTTTTTAATTCTTTCCATCACTCAAATCAGCCTAGAGACTCCCAACAGCCTAGAGACTCCCAAACCATTTTGACAAAACCAGAAACTTTTCTTTTTTTTTTATTCTTTCCATCATTCAAATCAGCCTAGAGACTCCCAGACCATTTTGACAAAACCGAAAACTTTTCTTCTTTTGTATTCTTTCCTTTTCCTCATCGTCTTCGTTATCTTTCTGTTTCCTCTTCTTCAGTTCTTCTTCTTTTTTTTTGTTTTTCTTTTGTAAATTCTCCCTTCTTTTTTTCCTCTTTTTCTGTTTTACGCTTTTAAGTTCCTCTTCTTCGGTTGATTTCAGAGAGGAAGTCGCAAAAGCTAAGAAGGTTGTGGTGCATAGAGAGAGGGAGTCGAAGCGGCGAGAAAGCTTTTACGATTCTAAGTATGTGTTTGGAATTTCTTCCCAGGAAACCATTTCACTCCGCCTAGACTATCGCCTAGACCGCCCAGGCCGCCTAAGAGCACCTAGGTGGACGCCTAACAGCTCCCCGATTTTTCTTAACGATTTGGACCTAATCAGATCGGCACACCTACGCCCAGCGCCTAGGCGCCACCTAGGCCGTTTTTTAGAACACTGCTGAAAATACAAGAAGGCAGGAATCGGAAGAAGATTAGGAATTAGGGATGGGCAAATACCTATGGATTTGGGTAACCGCGGTTACCCATCCATTTAAATTTCACGGTTACAGTTGTGAATAACCATTTAGACGAACAAACGGTTATGGGTATTATCGTTTATCCGTGAAATTTAAATGAGCGGTTATAAGTATTACCCGAGGTTATAATGAGTATCTATTTACCCATTTAATTTATATATATATATATTGTACACTGAGAAAGAAAATAGAAGATATTGTGTACCACCCACTGCGATGCGATGTTGACGATCATCAGGACCTTCCTTTTGTAGGTGCTAGGATACACACACACACACACACACATATATTGTACACTCAAAAAGAAAATAGAAGATATTGTGTACCACCCATTGCGATGCGACGTTGACGAATCATCAGGACCTTCCCTTTGTAGGTGCTAAGATGCACACACACACACACACACACATGTTATAAATAGGTCAAAGTTAGATAGATAACCTTTACTAGTGACATGAGTGAAGCAGGTATAAAATATTACACTGTAACTATAGCACAAGAGGATGACAAATAAAAGAGGTAGGAATAGATACTGATGTTAATGATCTTTCCTTTCTTACTCTGTCTGTGTATCTTGATAGTAGTCGGAGTGCTCTATTTATAGAGCAACTTCAGACAAACATTTTGAAATTTACAGTACATGACTTTGAAAATACGATCACCTTTATTTCCAAAGTCTACATCCCTTTGTGTAGGTATTGAAAATCTGTGTGGGCATTCATAACACTGCCAATGTTTTCAACAACACACACACACACACACACACACATATATATATATATATATATATATATTAGAGAGGAGAAGGACTAAGGATCGCTTTTGTTTGCTCTTTTTTTTTTTTTTTTTTTTTTTTCTTCTGATAAATGAGTGTACAATGTAAACCTTCTGTGATCACTTACTTCCGTTGGATTCATGCTAATTAGTGTCGGTGTTCCTAAATGGGATACTAATTCAATTTATACATTTCTATTGTAGACCTCTTTTGGTGACAACGAGTCGATGAGATTTTGTGATTGAACGTGCAAAAGCATTAGTGTTCGAAAGTGTTTAGTTTCGGAATATTTTGGAGCTTTGAATCATCTAGTATTCAAGATAATGACTACTTTTTATTTTTAGAAGCTTTACTTTGTAATCATATGGATTATAATTAAATATTTGCTTGGGTGTAGCATAAAGATATCGTTTTTAAACTATTATTTCAATTATTGGAATTGTATGAGGACTTAAATGATTAAAATAGGGAAATGCATGCTAAAATGTACCTATAACGGTGTTTAATTGTCAAAAAACGAAAATTATGACAAATTTTTCTTTTGTAATTTTCAAGTTGTTAAAAAAAAAACATGTAGATGGGTGAAAAAAGGGGTAAATGGGTAAAAAAGGATAAACGGGTTCAAAAACGGGTAAATGATTATGGTTAAATGGGTAAATGGTTATGGTTAAATGAGTACACGATTATGGGTATGGGTATAACCGTTTATACAATTACCCAACGGGTAAATGGTTATGCGGGTATGAACATAAACAGTTATGGGTAAATAACCGCAGTTACCCGCCCGCCATAACCATTGCCCATCCCTATTAGGAATCCCATATCTTCTCCAAAACTTGATTGCACACTGGATGGAGAAGATATAGTTAAGTAATTATTTGAGTTAAGGAAGAGTATTGTAGTATTTTCACCTCAAATTTTGGTTAGAATTATGAAAAATTGTATGGTTGGCTAAAATTCCATTCATGGTTCAAATTTTGGCTATTTTTTCAAATTGTTCCATAAAAAGACTTCAACCGCATCCTTTTATTTTATTTTGTTGACATCATTCAGCCATGCGAAATTTCGAGGAGACCTTCACAAAATTGAGACTCATCATAGACTCTCTGTCACCTCATGCTTTTTACACAATTCTCGTGCCAACATTGTAAAATATTGTGTTAAAAGCATGAAGTGCCGGAAAGTCTATAAAGAATCCTACTTTGAGAGAGTCTCATTCCCAACCTTCTCTACTTCTACTAAGCCAATTGTCATTACCAAGCTTGTATTTTGTCCTAATTTTGTGAAATAAAACAGTTGAATAGAAATATAAAACTCACTTTCTTCCTTAAAAATTCTAGAAGAAATCCAAGTTACAAATGTTTCTAAGTACGATAAAAATGCCTCTACTCTACTGTATAATTGCGTTGCATATCAGAGACATTTTTTTACTAAATATTGTGATTTATAAAATTTAAATAAAGAAATTATATATGTTTGATAGCGTGAAGAGCGAATAATACCGAGACCAAAAACCATTCACAAGATAATGTTATTTTTTACGAGTTTCTTTTTGTTAATAGTAATATGCAAGATTCTGAACGCAGGCAACTCTAACAACGTTGTAGGAACATTGACTTGTTAGTTTTATAATTAAGCATAATAAAATACTCGAAGCAACTGAAAGAATAAATAAATCAAGGGTGGGTGTTGACTTATTAGTTTTATAATTAAGCACAATAAAATACTCGAAGCAACTGAAAGAATAAATAAATCAAGGGTCGGTGTCGACTTATTAGTTTTCTAATTAAGCACAACAAAATATTCAAAGCAACTGCTTTAAAAAACAGGAAAAGGATCCCCTCGTGACACCTGATTGTTATTTCTTAAAATAGAATGACCTCACCTCACCTATCCTTGATTTGTTTTTTCGGAAAAGAATCCCCTCTGAATCCATTATGTGGAGATCTTAGGGATCTTTACATCTTAGTCTTTCATCATGTATCGTACGATCATTTTTTATCAGGTGCTATTTGTATTT